AAAAAAAAAAAAAAAAGCGAATTGAGCATAAAAATAAAATAAAAAGAAGTGGGACGGGGGAGAACAGTGAGGGTTTAACAGTCCAAAGTGACATTTAAGGTATGACCCGCCACAAAGTTTGTCTGAGAGACAATATGGTGCATAGTAACCAAGAATGAGAAATTAAAAGTAAGTTAAATAAGGGTAATAAGTATGAAATCCTGCAATAAGAAAATCAATAGAAGAAATTCATCATTTGCCTCCAGATGATGAAGAAAGATAAAGTCCAGGTAGGCTAACAAAATGTCCAAAGCAAATCCATGGATTAACTAAAACTTCTAAGGCAACTAAAACCCATTTTAGACAAGTTAGATGGTATTGATCGAAAAGTTGTTTGCAAACTCAGTTTTTGCATGTTCTCCAAATGCAATTCCAACTTCGCAGTAAGGATTCTAAAGAACGAGACAGATATTTTGTAAGTTTCTAGGAGGTAAAACTCTTCAAAACTATCAGGAGACATGTAAAATGCTACCCAAAGGCTCAAAAAATTACTATAAACCAATTTGTCTTCACAAATTCATGCGCAGTTGAACAATTAACTACATATGCATGATTTGAGCAAAATAGATTTGGAGCAACTGCCCAATTAAGCTTAAATATCAAAGTAAGAATTGCTTAACCTAACTGTGAAGAACATCCAATAAGCCAATCAAAACATCAAACAAAGGCTACACTTTAAACAAAATACAGCATATTATAAGATCTCCTATTACTAGGATACAGAAAAGTGAACTTGGGGTGGAAATAATAAATGTATTATGGAGTTTGCTTAGTGCAAGGATACTATCCCAAGAATACAATAGAAACCAATGAGGAAGTACAGAAATATGTCAAACAAACATACCGACGTAGTAGCACTTGTGGATTATAAGGAAACAGGTTCTTTAGGTGAAGGCTTTCAATAGATGCTTTAAGTGAAAAAAGACAGTTCCTTGCACACTCAAATGGTGATATCTGAGTTACATAATCCTCATCGCAACATCCATGGGCTTTTTGGTTTTTGCTTTCAAGTGGTAAACTAACTCCACTAACAAAACTTGGCACAGCTGATATCTCTCCCTTATAGTTATAATCATCTGCTGAAAACTTTTTTCTCTTTCTGCTTCGACCTTTTCCGCTCCATGAAAATTCCACAAATATGTTCCATGAATCACATACCTTACGTAGGCACCTATGAGGACACAGGTGGAAATTATATGGAAAACATCAGACAGATAAATCAACATATTTTGTTTAGGAGGGGCTAATGTTGCTCCAATTCTCTGATTTTGAATATGCTAGTTAGATTTGGAGCAATCACCGAAAGAAATGAATATGCACTGTAAATGGAGGAACATGTGGTTATGTTTTGGTTTTTAGGATATATTAGGAAAAGAAAAATTAATTCATAAGACGATTTAAGGAACTTTTGCAAGATAAAAAAGATGATGTTTTTTACATAGAGCTCTTGTAATTTTTGAATATGCTACACGGTAGAGCTGGAACTCCTTACATAGACTAAATCAGATCCTATATCAGATCGTTTTACGTTCATCATACTTGAAAATTGGGAGAAAAAGATGGGTTGCAAATTTGGGACTAGTATGCTTTACCATATGAAGGTTGGGCCTGTCAAAACACCATAAGTGGTACGCATATGTGATCCACTTACAGATCTTATAGCCATGTCCAAAGACTAGAGACGAAAATAAAAATGTAGAGTCTGGTACATACCTCAAAAGATATTCAGCAGAGCTAGCTCCTGTGTCTTTTGAGATAAGATAATCAAGAAGAACTTGATGATCATAGTGTATCTGTAAGCAAGGTAACACTCAGCATGGGTAAATACTAGTATTTCGTCTTGACATCAGAAGGAGAGTAAACAACGAAGTGGACAAGGGAATGTTTCGAACTTACTCCAGCCAGGAATAGGTGAAAGAAATGTATTGGGTGAAAAAGGTGTGAAATCAGAGAAAACTCTCTCACTTCAACAGTTGAGAAAGCCACTTCATCAATAAACCTACATACAACAAGAAGCACTAAAAGAACTGCCATATACTACTTCACATCATCTCTAGAATTAAGTAATATACGTGCAACTCACTTTTGTTCAGAGTAAAATGGCAAGCAAAACATTTGCAAGAGCATTTCAAATAGTATATCATCCTACAATTTAACAGTAAAGGAAAGTCAGAAAAGTGAAGCCGGTTGGAATAATTTATCATACAAGAACAGCAAGCAGGTTTTGCGTCACAAACCACTTCTGAGATGCAAAATCAGCCAATCAAATCAACCAAATATGAAGCTTTAGCTGAGCTCTATGTCCTGGACATCATAATATAGTAGGAGGTATACTAAAACCTAGAAACAAGCTAGAAACCATTTGAAGTAGGCAATCCTCAGCCATTGGAAGTCCAATGATAACAGATGAATCTCTAACGCTTAGACAACAAACCTATGCAAATGATGGATTGAGCCAGTGCTAATCGGTGAGGAATAAACATAAAAATCTCAGAGTCTAAGGATTAGTTCTCCAGATTTAGTCAAGTGGTTCCTCCAAAATTGCCGAGGAAAGAGTTAACAGAAAGGGGAAAAGAGGGACAGAAAAAAGAGATGCAGAGTTCTAATGCAACTGCATATACAAGGTTTTGTACCTCACTCTTGGTCGATTATAGCACCACAGGGAGCATTTAAACACTCTATATGAGTTTCCTAGTAACTAGCTAATATAAGTTCCGCTGCTCTTATTGTTCCCCAGCTTATCTCATACCGACAGTCAGTTCCAAAACTTGTCAAACCTTGAAGATCAGATATAATTATGAAGCTGCAATTCAGCCATTTTATTTAGAGGACCCAAAAAAAATGAACAAGTTAAAATAAAACAGTCATTGTGAGCAAGAGCACAAACCTCTTGCATATATAGCTGCAAGAAGGATGAGACGAAGTCCATGCATTTCTCAGAGTACATATCATGGTCAGCAAAACTATCACCAGGGAGAAGCTCTTTGAGCCACTTGTGGAGCTCTAGCAAAGCTTTTCTTCTGCTGCAACACTTGGGATTCAGATCAAAGCTTGAGCAAGACTTAAGATTTTTACAAGCATAATGTTGATCAGTCGTCTCTTTCATGTTCATCAAACTAGAGGAACATTTGAGGAAAAAGAAAATAGCCAGCCTTTGCAAATGCTTTGATGAAATGCATTTCTTCCCCATATCAAATGTCATTACCCCAAATGGAGAACCTTCGAGATATTTATCTAGACCAAACTCCTGCCCATCCATAGGTTGCAATAATACATCTTGAAAGTAAGTGTGGATAAGATGCAACCACGATACTACAATTGAGGGGTCCAAATGGATTTGGTTACTAAGTCGAATCATGAGTATCTGAAAAAATGAACAGGTATTGCAACCACAAACTCAACTCAGTTAAATGATGTCATTGGTGGATGTCCAAACAAAAATTTAAATATACTTATCACACCACTGTAAACAACATAAAACGATTACACGGGAGCATATATCTATTCGGAATGGAAGAGATTATTATTACAACAAAAGCAAAAACAGGAAAGCCTCATCATATCCACCTAATTGTAACACTTTAGATTAAACTGTAGCATTTAGCATATTAAACTTTCTCCATCCGACTTCTTTTCCTATGATAGATCAAGTGTTATTGGATTCAGGGCATCAAGGGGTGTTATGCATGTACGAATGCAACATCTAAGAGCGTAATCCTTCAATAAATTAGATAAAGCATAACCCCCTAATTTGCATCAATAGACAAATTATTTAGTATTAGAAAGAATAGGCTTGAATTGAACAGAATGGTTACAGAGGATTTGTACAGACCCCAATCCAATTTGGGATCGAGGCATAGTTGATTGATCCAGATAGACAACAACAACAACAACAACAACATACCCAATATTATCCACATCGTGTGGTCTGGGGAGGGCAGTATGTACGCAGACCTTATCCCTACCTTGTGAAGGTAGAGAGGTTGTTTCCAATAGACCCTCAACTCAGGAAAACATAAGCACCATATTAATTAAAAGATAGACAAGAGGGACAACACCAAAAAGCCATGTAAAAGCGGGCATAAAAACAATACGATAATAAGATGATCAAAATGAAAGAAAACGACGGGTAATTATAGAAACCTACTACCAACAGAATGGGAGAGTGCGTACTAATACTACTGGTATGAAAAATCTACCACCTACCCTTCTATCCTAATCCTCGACCTCCACATCTTCCTATCAAGGGTCATGTCCTCGTTCAGCTGAAGCTGAGCCATGTCTTGCCTAATCACCTCTCCCCCACATCTTCTTCCGCCTACCTCTACCTCTTTGTAGGTCCTCCAATGTCAACCTCTCACACCTCCTCATCGGGGCATCTGTGCTCCTCCTCCTCAATGGGTGCGGCCACCATTGAGCACTGGATGCCTAATCACCTCTCCCCACATCTATCTTGATCCAGATAGATGTTAAATAAAAAAGAATTCACACCAAAGTTGTTTGAGAAAACTAGAGAGCGACTTTTTAATCTTCCACAATGCCCTTAAAATATTTTGTTAGTTACTTTCATCTATACAAAATGGGGATAAAGGGCCATATGGAGACTTCTTCCTGCCTTTGCTTGAACATTTGATGAACCAACTCTCAGGAGCAATTAAAATCAACAATAATTGCCCACCTAACAAAGAAAAGAGAGCAAATAGCGTACCAGATTCCACTAGTTTACAAAAGCACTTCACCCTGCCACTCGCATTAGATGCACAGACTAACAATTGAATTTCCTACCTTCTTGTTAAGAAGGTAATGAAATACGTCAAAAATTTTGTATTAAGAAAAAAAAAATCCTACCTTCTTCCAGAAAGGATCAGTAAGAGAGGCATATTCAGCATGTCATAAGGTTTTGTGATCATATAACCCTGATTAGCATGTCATTCAAATAAGTTATTCGTTGATTACATTTATCACTTTTTAAAACAAAAAAATTTTAGGTACTACCATCAACTGCCTACACTGCCAACATTTATGAAACACTGGCTGAGGGAAGATATCAGCTCAGTACCTTGCCTGTCCCCATAAGAATGTTTTACATTTCATCGCAAATTATGCTTATTGGGTAAGAGTAAACCGTAGGTAGTATAAAGCATAAAGAACAATAGCACATTGAAAAAGCGAAGCCAGTACCTAAACTGCATCTCAACTGGTGGGAAAAAGCAACGATAATTCGATAAGCACCAATATAAAGCATAACAAGAAAAGAGGGGGGGGGGGGGGTTAAATCAGGAATAAACGCAAATCCAGGCCATGGAAGGAGAAAATCAATCTGTTTCTATGAGAAGTTTAATTCAATTGAATGTTTGAAAGCAATATCAGACATTCAAATCGGATATATCATCATGGTAAGTACCAATGTTTTTCCAGTGAAAGTCATAAGGTTACCTATTTTTTCTATACTTGGCAGCAGGAAGCATTTTATAAAAGATGCTAATTAATGAGAATGAGTTGAGAAGGAATTCATACCAACATCTTATGTTTAAGATATTGAGAGATGGCAACATTATCAGGGCACTGTTCATTACTAAGGCATGATATCAAAAGTCTTGGAAGTAGGTTTTTGATTTCACAAATAAATGGATGCTCTACTGAAGTGCTGACAGCAGTGTCCGTCCAACCACTTTTAACCAAGGAACAGAGCAATCGGAGAAGATATCCCTGAAATGTTAGGATTGACTTAGGTTTTGCTTCTTGCATTTGAGGCAAATGGTCCGGACTGGAGTCCCCTTGAGCATGGTAGACCTCTGACAGCAAATCCCACGGCATATTTGAGATAAAAGAAGTGGTAGCCTCCAAGTAAATGTTGAAAATTTGATCGATAAGATCTCGGTTCAACTGTTTCAGTATACTGTGTAGAACTCTCATGATAACAGCTGCCGTTGACCAACTTCCACTTTTCAGGCTGAGCTTCAATAAATGAGAAGGTGATGGATCCCCCCTCAAGTCTTTGACCTCCATCGTATGTCCCATAGAGGAAAGACCATTAGAAATTGAAATTTTCACGCAGAAATACAGTAAATTGATATATTCACCCCAAAAGCTTTCCTGCAGATAGAAGTTGTTAACACACACAAAATATCAAAACAAAGAAGTGCCAATGTAGTGATTTCAAAGCCACCATCTTATCACGTACAGATTCGACCAGAAAATCTGAAACAACCACCAGGATATTGCCAACTAGGTNAGGTTTCATATCAGATCATTTTTCATCAGGATTGTGGCAATTTTCCAGCAATGGTCAAATGAGCTTAAATTCTTGATCTTAATTAGTGTCCAGAAATTAAACTCCAAACTGAACAGGAGATTGAGAAAATACCAGGATGGTAATTGAAAAAACATCACGATGCTGGGGCCAACATGTTACAGCATTTGTACTTTAAAGCTTCACAGTAGTATTTGATACACATAACTGTACTACAGAATATGGTATTGTCACAGTGAATCCAATTAACCAATCAGCCCCAAAAATCATATAAAGATTGGAATCCCTGTGTCATACCTCATCACGGGTATTCGAATCGAAAAACTTACCAAGACCCCAATAACTTTGGTTAAACAATGATGATCATGAGCATGTGACTCAGGGATTATTTGACCTCCACCAACAGAATTTCCCGCCATGTCCTCCTAATAAATTTACACAAACAAACAAATGTACCCTAAGATACTTCCAAGCAAAACCATAAGATTACACAGAAAGAATCTTACAGAGCTGTTATCGGAGTCATATTCCTTTATCCACTGCTTGATTTCTGTATAAACCTAAAAGTTGGAACTTTTAATCCATTAACTTTGCTTCAATTCAAAGTCTCAAAAAAGAAAATCCCACAATAGGGAGATTGGTAAAGAAAGGAACAAGTACCTGTGAAAGAGCAATTAAAAGTTGTTTCTCCATTTCTTTGGTTAAAGAAGCAGACCCAGTTTCCTGCAGAGGCATAGAGTTTTCATTTTATGTAAAATGAGGTGAAAAGAAAAAAATACACAGAGGCAATTAAGAATCAGTGGGGGGGGTTGGGGGGTGGGTAGAGTGAGCTTACAGTATAAGGACGGAGGTAATGATCAATTAAACAACACAGCCGTGAGTGTTCGTTTGTCATACGCCCTCCAGCAAGTTTCTTTTTCCGGCGATTTTGCTGAACGAATGTACACTAACCTACCAAGTCTCGGACTTGATATCACCGGTGACCGGACGTTAACTTGCTTTTCAGCAGAGATAGTTTTACTTTTATATCAGCAATTTCAAGTTCCATTGCAATACTCGGCGAGAGGGCTCACTTTTCTTTTCTTTTTGACATTTACATTTTAAACTGTTAAAAATTGTAGTTTAAGAAATATATTTTTCTTTAAAAAAAATTCAGGAAATTTTGAATAAAGGGTCAAATTTGCCTTCTATTGTTTCAAATTCAAATTGAACAACTTTCTCATCCTTGCATTTTTGGGTAATATTATACTTGCTATTAAAAAAAATATCTTAGTTTTACCCTCAAGCTCCAATCTAAAAGTAATTTTAAACTGTAACGAAAAGTTATTATGTATATTATCTTTTTTCTCAAAAAATTTAGACACTTTACTGGGGCGAAAAGGTATAAATGGACTAAAAGTGTAACAAATGTTAATAAACTTTGAATAGCACATGAGTAAAGTTGGACCTTTTCCCAAACTAATAGCTTGTTGGATCAATTTTTTATTAGGCAAAGGTGCTTTTTTAATATTTAGCCAAACTTTTAGAAGAAAATAAGTGTTTTGAGTAGGCAATTAAGAAGCATTAAAAAAATAGCTCCCAAAAGCATTTTTTTGAAAAGTAATTTCGAACTTTAAAAATATTCTTTCAAAAGCTTGATCAAACATAATTGCTTCTCAAATGTAATTTTTTAAATTAATAATCAAATACAAACTATTTTCCACCAAAAATTACTTTTTTTAAAAATATTATTAACAAAAACGCTTTTCAAAATAAGATGATGGTAGACGCTTGACCAAATATGTTGTAATACTCTTTGATTTAATTTTATATATATTCTCAAGTTGGATAAAAGAAAATAATTGCGCCAGATTTAAAATTTGTATACAATTAAACTACAATGAACCTTTAAGACATTATACATTTCTAAGGATTACAAATTTAGACTAGATTTGGTAATGTTGGATAGTTCAATCTCATAATCCCTACTCCAAATTGCTTCAATGGAGTGACGAGAGCTACCAACTTATGCCACCATTGAATGAGGCCTCTTCTATTGCAGCACTTCTCCTCAATAAGTGCGCCTCTATAACATCAGCAACCAAAGCACGCCAGCTCCATGCCCTCATCCTCACTTCTATACCCGCCACCTCGAAATCTCCTTATGTCTTCAACAACATTCTTTCTATGTATGCGCGATGTGAGTCCATCCAAGACTCACATATCCTGTTCGACAAAATGCCTGACAGAAACATCGTCTCTTTCAACGCCCTCATTTCTGCCTATTCTCGAAAACCCCATCTTGCCCATTTGGCTTTCCGTCTATTTGCTGAATTGCAAAGTGAGAACCTAAGGCCAAATGGGTTAACTTTTACGAGCCTTTTACATGCATGTTCAGGCCTCAAGAATCAGGTACTAGGTTCTGTGCTTCATTCCCAATGTATAAAGTTTGGATTTTTGTATGATGTGTGTGCTCAAACCTCTATACTTGGGATGTACTCAAGTTGTGGCTTCCTGGATTGTGCAGAGAAAGTTTTTTGCTCCATGCAAGATAAAGATTCTGTGGCTTGGAATACCATATTTTTTGGATATTTGGAAAATGGTAGGACCATGGAAGGCCTTCAGCTATTTGACAGCATGTTGACTGCTCGAGTTAATCCGACAAATTTCACTTATACAACGCTGTTGAGTGCTTGTAGCAGGTTGAGAGATGGTCTTGCAGGGGAAGCAACTCATGTTAAAGTAATTGTTTCCGGGATTGCACCAGATTTGCCCTTGTACAATGCGCTGCTCGACATGTATTCTAGTTGTGGTGATAATGAAGCAGCTTTGAAAGTCTTCGGAAAAATAAAGAAACCAGATCTGGGATCGTGGAATTCAATGATTTCTGGATATGCAAACAATGGAGATGGAGAGATGGCAATGACTATGTTTGTCCAATTTCGACAATCATCCCTTTTCACACCTGACGAGTATACATTTGCAGCTGCAATTTCTGCTACAAGAGCATATCCAGCAGCTGATTATGGGAAACCACTCCACGGCCAAGTTGAGAAGGTGGGGCTCGGTCAAAGTGTATACATTGCAAGCACACTGATATCGATGTACTTTTACTATGGGGAAGTTGAGTCTGCTCAAAGAATTTTCATTAGCATCCTGGAGAAGGATGTTGTCCTATGGACTGAGATGATTGCTGGACATTGTAGGAATGGTAATGCTGAGAGCTCTATTAGGTTTTTCCATGGAATGTTACAGGAAGACCACAAGGTTGATGAATTTACTCTTAGCAGTGCCTTAAGCGTGTGTGCTGAAGCGGCATGTATGAAGCAGGGTGAACTGATTCATTCCCTGGCTATCAAAACAGGTTATATAGCTGAGATGACCGTTTGTGGGAGTTTGGTTGATATGTATGCTAAAATAGGAAACCTTGCAGCTGCAGAGCTTACGTTTTCCTGTGTAACCACGCCTAATCTAAAATGCTGGAACTCAATTCTCGGAGGATATGGTTACCATGGGAAGGCAGAGGATGCGTTTAAGGTGTTCAATGATATTTTACAACATGGCCTAAAACCAGATCCTGTAACATTTATCTCTCTGCTTGCGGCCTGTAGCCACTGTGGATTGGTCAACCAGGGTATATTCTTCTGGAATTACATGAAAGGTATTGGTTTAGAACCAAGCCTTAAGCATTATTCTTGCATGATCACTTTGTTGAGTCGAGCTGGATTTCTAGAGGAGGCTGAGAATGTTATAATGGAATCACCTTTTGGTGATGAATGCCTTCAACTATGGAAAATTTTACTGAGTTCTTGCGTAAGTAAAAGAAATCAGAGCATAGGTATACGTGTCGCAAAGCAGGTTTTGAGGATGGATGCAGAAGACAGTGCATCAAATGTATTGCTGTCAAACTTTTTTGCTTCAACTGGTAGGTGGGGTGGTGTTTCAGATATCAGGAGAAAGATAAGGGAATTGATGTTGGAAAAAGATCCTGGTCTGAGCTGGTTAGAGCTTATAAACGATATCCATGTGTTCTCTTGTAGTGATCATTCACATCCACAGTATGATGAAATAAGAGCTGAGTTGTCTAGATTGCAAGGAAACTTAACACAGTCAGAAGCAACAGATCAATTCATGCTAGATGCAGTGGCCGTGTAAGTAGAATCTAACAAGAATCAGAATAATAGCTCATTTTCAGCCAACCTCTTCTCCAACATGATACCTAGTATATATTTTTGTCTTAACAGTTTGCACGCTTTTCGCTTCAAATGACACAAACGGATAATTTAAAAAATAGTCGATTGTTGTTTTATTTAAAAAGATTTTATAGATATGTGTTTACTAATACAAAATAACTTTTGAATCTCCGTAAGAGAAGGGGGTAAAATTATTCCATTAGAGTGTTCTTATACATTGGAGTTGCTGTTTCGCGTTTTAAAATCAATCTATCAACTGGAACCTAATATAAACTTAGTGGGACTAATCATAATTTCGCTAAAAGAATTTACTAGCCGTTTAGGCGCCACCTAATGCAATCCTTATTAAACCAGATTGGGTATAGGCTATACTCTAAAAAAGCATTGTTGAAACTTGAAAGTATGAGTCCTAACTTTTTATTAACATTTTCTCAACTTACTACACAGAATTATATCTGATTGTATTTTTAATAATAAATGATTTTACTACACAGAATTATATCTGGTTTTATTCTTAATAATAAGATAATTTTACAAAAGAGGGGGGGGGGGGTTTCGCCATGCATTCTTGATTTCGGTGGCAGTATCCACAATTTTTATTTTCGTATCATAGTAATTAAAGTAGAAGTACATGTTAAAACTATTAAAAGATGAAATATTCTGTACTCTTTTTGTAATTTCCTTTTTGTTATCTAAATTAAGACTTCTGTTGCCCAAACATACAACTAACTTTGTACCATTTTTAAGTTTAATCAGTTTGGATAAATGGGGACTTCCTTTACCTAGAAGCCCAGAATACACCTTGATAAAGTCGTTCACGAACTATTTGTATTTTTTATCTAGCAGCAACAATGCAATGGCAAATCATATTAATCTAGTCTCTAAAGAGATTGTTGTAAAAGGGCAAAAGGTTTTCCATCTACAGTTGTACATTACCAATTAGTTCCTAGCATTTAGTTGAGGCAGTGGTATGTTTTTGACTAAAAAGGAAGAAGCGTTGTTTATTTTCTTCTCTACATGTTTATAATTAGATAGTTGTCACTTAACAGAACATTACTGATGTCCTATCTCCTCTATTTCCTTTTGAAATGAGAAAAGAAAGAAGACATGTAAAACCCTGAGGGGTCGTTTGGTACGAGGTATAAGAAGGTATAGGGGTGGTATAAAAATTTAATACCACCTTAATACTTTGTTTGGTTGGCAAACCAGGTATAAGTTATCCCGGTGTTAATTTTAACATCGGAATAACTTATACCTTATAGAGGGTGGGGTAATTAGCACCGGTATAACTTATACCTTTTTCTTAGAAATTATACAATTGTCATTCTTAATACAACATACCAAACAGTGAATAAACAACAATCCCAGCATAACTTATCCCAAGTTTCCAACATAACTTATACCGGCATAAGCCCTATTCCAACCAAACGACCCCTGAGAGCTTATAAATTGAGGAATAAGATCTCTTCCACTAAGGAATCTGACATGTAATATCTCGAATAACTATGCTTGCACAATCTTATTTCTGAAGAACTGATGCTAGCTGGAAGTTAGATCCGGACTACAACAAATATAACCTGTTTCATTTCTACAAAGGGCAATTGAAATCGTCCACAATCAAGCTCGATACACAAAATCAGGAGAAATAGGGAAATAGCATTGCTGCAAAATCCCTATTGATAGTACATCTCTGCAGAAATAGCAATCCACAATAGTAAAACAAGCCAATGAAACTGGAGGTAGATACACAGCATCATTTCATGATTTGACAATATGCTTGACCTTGCCAGGATACTGTTACAGGTAACAAGTGTTGCTGCAGCAAGAAACTTTGCATCCATTAAGATTCTCAGACTGAAACTAGATGTCTGAATAGCCAACACACTGTCTAGCGTCTGCCTGTACGACTTTTTGCTCTAGACTTCTGCAGAAAAGAATGATAGACAACAAAGATATCAGGTATAAGGAAGGATAGTGTTAGGCAGCAAAGACCATCTTGCATAACTCCCTAGCATAGTAAGCATGGAAAGTTGTAAGCTAAGGGCATTCAGATCTAGGAGCATGTTTGTAAAAGTAATAAGCACCTACCTCATTATGGTTTTATTACAGGAGTAATGAATACCATAATGAAGTAAGTGCTAATTGATGAGTTTGTTCTCAAAATGCTATATATCCTATTTTAGAATTCCTCTTGTCCTGCCCAAAGCCCATTAATGTGCGCTCTTTCTTTTAGGAGTTTTAAGGAGATATCATAAAAGATATAGCCAAAAAAAGGGAAAAGGGGCATGAAGAAAGCAAGGAACTGTTCGGCCTAGATGGTCTTTTCATCTTCCATATATGGTTGATGGGACAAATAAAAGCAAACTACCTAGATATTGTCATAAGCAGGTTGCAAGCCTAAATTTTGCTAATCCAAATTAATTATCCTAGGCAACCTCTGCCCACTAGTCATGGAAGCTGTATAATATAGTCCAGCAAGCAGAACTTGTCATAAGCAGAGCTATGGCTCCAAAAGTAGAATCACAGGTTACTTTCTGAAAAAAATTTATTAAGGTAAAAATAGGCTTCATACTGTTGCAGTATAATATTCCACAGGTAGTAAATATTGAAAGAAGGTTTCCACCACTCAAGGGAAATTGACACTGTTTTAATATGGACCAAAAAAGACTGCGGCTTTTTATTTTTGGGATCAGCGAGAGTAGTAATAATAGCGGTAGCTGGCCTTTCAAATGAAAACTGTCCTTTTATTAATGAAAACTGTCTTTCTTCCAATGAAATACAAATGATAACAGATCTCAGCCACGCAAATATCAAACACGAAACTAGCAGCAACTTTTTGTCATGAAAGACCAAGTCGCAACCACTCATAGGCACATGGTAAAAAAAAAACATAGATCTCTCTTTTCATGAAATATTCCAAAAGAAACAATCACTGAGACATTATTTGAGAATATACATCTATCATTGCCCAAATGTTGGTGCAAACATATACCAGACCAATGATGAGAAAATTTCAACCCAAGGTTTGTAAACCTAACTTCAGCAACCACGAGGCAATACCAAAGATGTCTAGGCCCATTATGACTGCATCATTTCTCAGAGTTGTGATGTTCTCATTAAATTAAAATTTTGTTCATAGAGATTCAACAGTTTGATGTATGTACTTTTTTTCCTTTTATAAGAAATTACCTTGTGAGTTAATGAACCATGGTTTCTGAACGTAAGAATATCAACTTGTCACACACTACAAGGTCCAAGCAGCAAGATTTTTGAAAAAACATCATAACATTCAACTATGTAATTTTTCAGGATTGGATTGGCACAAAGCTGGTAATAAACAATCCAGGCTTCCCAAAAATATATAACCAAACTGCAGATAAATTCACCAACATAGCCATATCAAACTAGTCCTCTACTCCACTTTCTTTTCCCTTTTCTTCATGTTGTGTTTTAGCCTTTAGGAGTAGGTGAGAAGTGTTTTTACTTCTTTACTTTTGAAGGGTTGGGAGGAGTGCAGGCAGAAGGAAATAGGTCAAGGCATAGACAAAGAAAGAGCCTAATATAGGAGAACATGTATACTCACAGATACAGTCCCAAAGCTTGCCCCTGATCCTAGTGCAGCACCTTCAAAAAATAAGAACAACTCAGGCACAAATCAGCATACAAAATATGAAGGAGGCAGATCCTAGGGATTGAAGAAAAAGACGACAAAAAGAAGAATCCCTTTCATGGAAAATACTGTAGTATCAAGAAAATCTAATTATGGAAAATATTCTCAAGATATCTGAAAACTTCTAATATCAGATGTAGGTAAGAAATTGCAGATTATTACAAAAGAAATGATATAAGGAATTTTGGATCATAAAACAACGTTTTTCAAAAAGATAGTATGTGTTGTAATAAATCACAACGTGCAAGCAATTAGAGGAAATTTTCCAAAACAAAAAGCTTAGCTACTCAATGTAACTTCCTCTGAAAAAGTTTCAGAAATGAAAACACAAGAGCAACTTTTCTGCACCAGAGCATTTAGAAACAATAACCCAAAAGAACTTTTGAGAATGGCAGTTAATCAAGAAAATTCTCCAAACAATACCTTGACACTCTTTTATATATATTTGTAGTAGTGTAGTATTAAACTAGCAGTTGTGGGAAAAATTTTACGTAGCAGTTCAAACGTTAGTTTAATAAAACAAGCATCGAATCAAAGCTTAATATATGAATAATTACATGATTTTGAATTCTTAAAAATTGTGGAAACTGTATAGATCCTAGTAATGGAGTGGTGTCAAACATTTTGGAACATCCGAAAAGGAAAGTGTCACATAAACTGAAACCAAGGGAGTATACAATTGATTCAGTAAACTGAAGACCAAGTTATAGATGTATGTTACATCAATTATCTTTATGGGAATTAAAAGATATTCAGTATCTTATAAAGGGGATAAATAGAAATTTAATTCTTGTAAAAAGCTAATCTAAATAAAGATATACAAAGCAGAGGGCCAAAATATGTCATTCATTGAGTTTCCTGGAAGCATACCTGAACCAAAAGGTGTTGCAAAACCCGAAACTCCAGAAGCAGGGGTAGAACCAAATAATGGAGCACTAGAGGCTGGGCTGGAAGTAGACAAGGACCCAAAGAGTGAAGTTTGAGGGGAAGCACCAGATGTTCCGAACAAAGAGGAGACTGGAGCTGATATTGTTGGAGTAGTGAACAGGGAAGAAGATGAAGCAGCAACGGATGGGGTAGCAAAAAGTGAGGATCCACTTCCAGGTAAGGCAGAAGGAACTGCAGATGATGTTTGTGGTGCACTGGATGCCCCAGGTGCTGCTGAGCTGGAAATCAATCCTGCTACCTGAGTTGATGGTTGTGAAATTGCAGGTAAGTGCAAAGTTGGATGTACCCTTCTAGCAGCTGCCTCCAGTTTAGCTGTTTCCCGCCTATCCGCCTCAAGAAAAGGATCGCTCCCATCCCCTCGACGGCGCTGATCAGCCAGGTATGCTGTTTTCATTGATTCAATGTACTGATGAATGCTCTCTACCTGCTTTACATAAAATATAAACATCTTAAAATCACAGCAACTAGTAATAAAGGTATAAGCAAGAACTTACAAAATAGGGTACATAATACATTTAGCATGCAGCATTACAATTTTGCTGCTTCAAAAGTATAAGCAGACATCAACTAAAACTCTGGTGCTCTCTGATATACTAATTATACGTGGTACGAGACTAAACTAATGAGGAACTTCAACTGTACCAGAAATCCAGAATCTACAAGTCTCTAAAGAGGTGACATCACTTGCAAATACTGTAGTCATTATTTGCAACTTGAAGTTTGGTCATCAGTATTTGCAAATTTTGAAAACCTTGTTTGAGGAGTATTTCAAGAGAAATAATAGTGTTCACTAACACAATTTCAACTTCTTTTCCAAGTGAAATTCATTTCCAGACACAATTTCAACTTCCAAATACTTTTTTCCAATTTCAACTTCAAATATTCCTTTTTCGACTTCACCCAAAATATTGTCCAAACGCCTACTAAATATATTATCATGTCCCACAAAGAGAGATTTCCAGAGTGGCTAGTGCGCACACACACAGTCACATGTAGATATATGTGCATTTGTTTGGTCAAGAAACAAAGAGAAAAAACTACTCCTAGTCATTTTTACTCTTCTTACTTCATTCTGAGCAAGCATGATACTTTCATATGCTTAACAAGCCTTTCCCATTACCTTTGCTGCAACATGAACAAAAAAGTCATGCACATTTGACATGACTTTTGGAAGAGACTGCAACAAAGATGAACTGGAGTTCATGGAATTCCTGTCAGAATCTAAGAGCATCAACTGCTCCAATTCTTCAACCCATTGCCGGCATTCTAAAAGATATTTCTCAAATCTTGCGACTGTTTGCTGCAAAAACGGAGTGGGCTTCTTTGGTATCCCCCTGTAAAAATCAAAAACTGGTGCATTGGGAGTAGAATGTGCTTGAGTGGATGCTGTTTGAGCGACTGTTGCACCTGATGCTTGTGATGGAGCAGTAGCACTTGCAGCAGCAGGTGCACTTTGACGAAGAAACCTTGGGCGTAACATCATAAAGGAACGCACCGCAACCTCTGTATTGTGCAGCATATCTTTAACAACAACCATTAGCTCTTGCAAGATAGCCTTTTGTCTTTCCATTGATGTACTAACTCCACCAAGTTCCTGAAAAAGCAACTTCAGGTTAGCACATGCAATTAAGTAATACCTGAAGTAATCGAAACAGTAATTAGAAAGGAAAGCAAGAGAATTAGACTATAAAATGTTTAATATCAGCGGCAAATAATATCCTCAATCAGAATAAGATGAGCATTGTTAGGTGGTATGAATTATGAAAATCTGAATAACTCAAAAATCAGCTCAAGACCTCTGGATCATCATCAGTCTGTGCTAACCACAAATAGACACAAGAAATATAGCTATATATATAGACTGCATGCAAGAAGAATAAATCAGCTTGACCAAAAGTAGACATTGATAGAAAGAATCTGGTTTTCAAATACTTCCAATAATTATTTTCCCACAAAGAACAGTTCTACAACCCAAAATTTGATTACTTAATGTTTGATAACTAGTCCAACTTAGTGGATAGACAACATAACCATGTCCATTCTTGTGAGTTTCAAAGCGCCAATAAAACTAGTACATTGCATATATCATATGATCAACAATAAAAACCTTTCTTTTTGGTAACTGAGCCCGAAGTTTTACTAAAGAGTTAATTCTAGAGGAATTATGATTTAAAAATAAAAGAATCTTAAGATAAGACCTGAATGCTGCGACTAGCATCCACCTCAAAGCCATCATTGGCCACTGATGAATCATAAAGTCGGCTACACTGGTCCAGCCTTTGACTTTTATCCCTGTATTCCAGTATTCTCTCCCTATATCCACAAGCACAGAATACAAATTAGAAAACTTCTCCAACAAAAAGGAAAAAAGAAATTAAAAAGCAACTTCAATCTTATTTATATTAAATCAACTTACTCAATTTGCAGCAGGAGCTTCTGTGAATCCGGGTGGAGGTCTGCCCATTTGGTACTGTAAGTGGCTGGCGTCTTATCGTTGGTGAAAAGGTACAACTGCTGCTGCTGTTGCTGTGACTGTTGTTGCTGCTGCAGTTGTTGTTGTTGCAATTGCAGTTGCAGTTGGTGTTGTTGTTGTTGTTGTTGTTGTTGCTGTTGCTGCTGCTGAAATTGAAGTTGCTGTTGTTGTTGCGGCTGCTGCGAAAAGGGAGTGATCTGCGAGAATGGCGACGACTGTTGCTGACCAGGAGTTTGGAATGGAGACGACTGTTGCTGGCCGGGAATTTGGAATGGCGACGACTGTTGCTGGCCGGGAGTTTGGAATGGGGACGACTGTTGCTGGCCGGGAGTTTGGAAAGGCGACGACTGTTGCTGGCCGGCAATTTGGAATGGAGACGGCTGTTGCTGGCCGGGAGTTTGGAATGGCGACGGCTGTTGTGCCTGTGGAGTGAAAGAGAACGCCATTGGCTATTCTAACGCTTGGCTCATCGAAATTTATGAGTAGTTGAATTAGGGCAAGAAGAAGAATGTTTAGGAAGAAAGCACCAACTCCTCAAACAGCTAAAACGCTAACAATGCAAGCATTAATTTGCATTACTAATACTTTGTTTGGTATATTTTTTTAACTTATATATAATTAATATTTGTATTAGTTATACATTATACTTAGCATTATCCTATGCATAAGTAATGCATAGATAATTTTTACAAAATAAAAATAAAAATGTTTAGAAGTTAATACAGAATACCTCATAATCATCCCAGAATCCGATGTCACAAGTGCATGAGCATTTACTAAGGAATGAAATAAAATACAGTAACTGTCTGGAATACAAAGTGGACAGAAGTGAAAATACAGTACAATACTCTGAACGAGGCTCCGCTGGCTGCCAGGCGTCTCGATAAATGCAGCTCACCTAAGTCTCTGTATCAACCATGCAAGTGTAGTATGAGTACGAAAATAACGTGTACCCAGGAAGTATCTCGTCTAATCTCAAAGAAGTAGAGACGAGAGGTCGACTTCGATACTTACTAGTGGTCCAATGATAATATACCAATAATTTAATAAATCGAGAATTTTCATAAAAATGATGGTAACTCAAATAGCACGAGGCAAGTAAACAATTCTTTCGTTTATAGGAAATTTCCAAATTTATTTTCATCATTTATACATTTATCTTAGGCCAGGGAGAAACAAATATCAACATCTATGAATTTCAAGGCAAGCAATACAAGCATGCGCAAATCATGCAGAGGCTGTACGGCCAGATCCAACAAATATTTAAACTGTGCATTGTCAGAGGGTCGAATGGCGCGAACCATAGATACATCTATTACCCCGCTCGCGAATCATACATGTGACGCGGTCAAATATAAATAAACACAACAATCAGTCAATCAAGGGATTCATCAGGGAACGATTGTCCAAAGAAAAGCCAATTCTCTTTTAACAATTCAAGAAAATGAAGTTTAATCTTTTTAGAAATTCATTTACTAATTCGATGTGATTTAAGCAATGCAAATTATCAATAAAATTACAATATTCCAAGTATAACATGCTTTTGGATCCTAGACTACCCAGACTTAAACATAATAGTAGCTACGCACAGACTCTCGTCACCTCGTGCGTACGTAGCCCCCACAAATAGGAGCACAAATCTAATTAATTCATCTATGGGGACAATTCCCTCTTACAAGGTTAGAAAGGAGACTCACCTCACTCTGAAGCCTATTTCCCAATTCAAGAAGCGCTCAAACCTCCACATCGGAGCCGAACGATCCAAAATTATTCAAATGTGGTAAGAACTAATCAATACATGCTCAAACGTTCATATTCTAATTATTAAACCAATTTTCCAACCCTAAATGCAAGGATTCCTAAAATTCATCTCCGGGCCCACGTGCTCGGATTCCGGAAATTCCTGAAAAAAGTTGTTACCCATAACCTAAGGATCAAGAATATATGATTTCTACTAAATTCTATAACAAATTTCGTGGTTAAATCTTGTTTTTATCAAAACCTTAGATTTTTCATCTAAACCCTTGATTTTTCCTAATTTTCACATGTTAATCTACACATAATCTATGTATTTAACTCATGTCGCGTAAAAATCACTTACCTCAAGGTGCTAGGTGAGAGCCCTCTTCCAAAAGCTCCAAAATCGCCCAAGAGATGAAAGGAAATGAGCTAAATGGACTAAGTCTCGAAATTAATAGATGTGCACAGGCCTCAGATATCGCATTTGTAAATGCGACGGTCGCAAATGCGACAAAACTATCGCAAATGCGAACATGGGCCTCCCCTGCCAAGGTCGCAAATGCGACTAATGAGTCACAAATGCGGACTCTGCCGAGGTTGCAAATGCGAACTCTGCCTCAGGCCAGGTTCCATTGCAAATGCGAAGCCTCACTCGCAAATGCGCCAAGAACACCAGAAAATTTGGTGTGTTTTCAACTCCTCCTGCACGTCCGAAATTCACCCGAGGCCCTCGGGACCTTAACCAATTATACCAACATGTCCCAAAACATGATACAAACTCGCTCGAGGCCTCAAATCACATCAAACAATGTCGAAATCATGAATCGTACTCCAATTCAAGTTTAATGAACTTCAAAATTTTAAACTTCTACTTTCGTTGTTTAAAACCTATCAAATCAGGTCCAATTAACCTCAAATTTTGCGCACAAGTCATATTTGATATTACGGACCTACTCCAACTTCCGAAATCGAAAGCTGACCCAGATATCAAAAAGTCCACTTTCGGTCAAACTTCTCAAAAACCTTCAAATTTCTATCTTTAGCCAAATGACTCCAAAATGACCCACGGACCTCTGAATTCACTTCTGATCGCGCTTTCAATACCAGAATCACCATATGGAGCTATTTCCAGACTCGAAATCCCAAACGAACATCGATAACACTGAAATGCTCTTCAACCCAAACTTATGAAATTCTTCTAAAAATGCTAACTTCCACAATAGGTGCTGAAATGCTCTTGAGCCATCCAAAACCCGATCCGAACATACGCCCAAATCCGAAATCATCATACAACCTGTTGGAACCTTCAAATCCTGATTCCGAGGTCGTTTACTCAAAATCCAATCTTTGTCAGTTCTTCCAACTTGAAGCTTTCGAAATGAGAATTCTCTTTCCAAATCGACTCTGAATTTCCCAAAATTCAATTCCGATCACACATATAAGTCATTATACCTGAAGTTAACCTACTTATGGCCTCAAACTGTCGAACGATGCGCTAGAGCTCAAAACGACCGATCGGATAGTTACAGTAAAAATAGCTAAAGATAATCAAAGTGGACTGGAGGGAGTAAACTTTTTATATTACATTCACTGTGGGATAACAATCTAAGGATAACTAATTTCAAGATTAAAAAAATCAAATCACGAATGTGTACTTTTTTTTAATTTCTTTGTGTAAAGCTCCATAAATTTTGCAGTCAATTCGGACGATAGATGAGCTTAAGAGAATAATAAAACTGACATTAAAGTATGTGTGTACCCATAAGAGGGCGTATGAATAATTAGAATATATTAACATAAATTTAGTACAAGATGGAAGTGGTTTGAAGTGGCAAAATAGTAAAAAAAATTAAATGTTAAATTTAAAAATAATTAGAAATAAATGGCAAAAACAACGCGTTTAGGCTATAACATGCACAAATATTTTTCAAAGGAAAAGCAGGATCTCGTTGCATGTGTATGACGTGAGGTCATTTGTGCTATAAATAGAAAGAGTTAAGGGAGAGAAAAAAATTGATTTCTGAAAGAGGTTTGAGAGGGTTTTAAAGGAGACCGGTCAACGCATTAGATGACCAGTCAAGATGAGTTGCTTTAGTATATTTTATGATGGATTAACACTCTTTAATCCTAGTATTTATTAGCATATAAATTGATTATAATCGTTAAGGTTCAAATATTCAAGAACTAAAAAAATACTATAGTTGTGATTTTCAGATTTGGTCTAAAAGAGGTAATTCTAATACTTAAAAGTCATTTATTATGAGTAGTTAGAAGTATTTGTGGCATTTGTTACTAGTTTTAATGGTGGAAGGTTGAATTATAAAATCCTAATTCATGGCATGAATAGCGTTCTTGACAAAATGAGGGAGAAGGTGAATAATGTTATTGAAAATGGAATTGGTGAATGTAATGAACCTATTGAATCATTTGTTAGCTATATTGAAAGTGATCAACTAAGTAAATACTAAATTGAATATTGTACAAATGTTGGTTAAGGAAGATGATAAATAGTAACTTAGCCGTCATTAGGCAACTGATATAGTAGAATTAATGACTTCAAATGGGTAGTGAATAACAAGAATGGAGTTGAATAGACTAGTAAGTGAACCTATTGGACGATTTAAGTTATTGGAGGCTTATAGCCAACTTTGAGCCATAAACCGATATTGATGAATAATTTGGGTTATGTTTTGATGCAATTAGGCTATCTAATTGTAGATATCAACTTGTTGGTGATGTTAAACGCTTTAATCAAATTGGATCGTCATAGTATTTTGTTGGAACTTAGAGTTGAGGTAAGTTGATTAAAACTTATTCTTTTTTGAGGGATTTTCTCTAAAAGCATGATTTTGGTTAGATATTAATTATTTATTAATATATATATTTGTGCTTCTGGGAACAAGCGGATACGTATGTCTCCATGTATCAAGATATTATGTTGCATATGTACTATCATGTTTATGAGCACCTAATTTTTGCTCCACATGGAAATTACTCCTAAAAATAGTCCAAAAATAATTTTAATGATTTTTTATAGTATTTTAGGAGTTTTTCTTTTATTTGTTTTGCATTATTCGCGGTGTTCATGCATATTTAGAAATGTTTTTTTCTAAATCGTAAAAAATTATCAAAAAAAATTTATCTTTCAATGTGTTAATTGCATTTAGGAATTAATCATAGGTTACAAACATGGTTAAAATAAAAATAATAAAAACATACATTGGCTTTAATCAGTTAGTTTAATTAATTAGTTAAAATGCTAATTAAGTTATTGTGGCAAAACAAATTTAGTTAGTAGTAATGTGGCTATTTTTGAAAGATCAAATAAAAGAGTAACAAGGTCTTTTGCTTCTTGTTCCAAATTGGCCCAATTCTAGCGGCCCAAAACCCCACCTGCCCGACTTGCTTGACCCAACCGGATCCTCTTCTTCATTAAAATATCCCAGATCCCCCAAAACCTAGAAAAAAGAGACGGATGGATCTTCCCCGAAAGACTAACCCTAGTCAACCATAACCTCTTCCCTCATCACTCTCTCATCATCATCTACACACTCATTTTCTCACCCAAACGATCACTCTTCTCACTCCTCTCTCTCATCTCTCTCTCTGGATTCACAGACTCACGTGGTGTGATTCGCAATATGCACAAAAACAAACGAGTGCGCGACATAACGACTTATTCAAACAAATTTCATAAATACTAAGAGCGATTAATTATTTAATTAAAAGCGGTTAAAAAGTTAAAAATATACAATAGGTTTTAAACATGTAATAAATAAGATAATTAGGTCAATTATTAATAGTTGAAAGACCGTTCT